CAGGCGGTCGAACATTAGGAGTGTTGAATTCCAACGTGTCGGGCTGTCGCAAATCAAGCGCCTCACTGGCATGTTGTTTCGCCACTGGATATCGGCAAAGTGCGCCATGGCCGTGTAGGAACGCCTGAAATGGCCACACACCTTCCTGGCCTGCTTCAGGACGTCCTGTAAGCCTGTGTACTTATGCACAAAGCGTTGTACGATCAGATTACACACATGTGCCATGCACGGCACATGTGTCAACTTGCCCAACTTCAATGCCGCCAACAAATTTGTTCCGTTGTCACAAACCACTTTGCCGATCTCCAGTTGCTGCGCAGTCAGCCACTTTTCCACCTGTGTGTTCAGGGCGGACAGGAGTGCTTGTGCGGTGTGACTCTCTGCTTTCAAGCAAGTCAAACCCAAGACGGCGTGACACTGCCGTATCCGGGATGTGGAATAGTACCTGGGGAGCTGGGGGGGTGCCGTTGATGTGGAGCAAGACGCAGCAGCAGAAGAGGACTCAGCCGAGGAGGTTATGGAGTAGAGGAGTAGAGGAGGTGGCAGCAGGCCTGCCTGCAAGTCGTGGCGGTGTCACCAACTCCTCTGCAGAGCCACGCATTCCATGCTTGGCAGCCGTCAGCAGGTTTGCCCAATGCGCAGTGTAGGTGATATACCTGCCCTGACCATGCTTTGCAGACCAGGTATCAGTGGTCAGATGGACCCTTGCCCCAACACTGTGTGCCAGACATGCCATTACTTCCTTTTGCACAATCGAGTACAGGTTGGGGATTGCCTTTTGTGAAAAGAAATTTCGTCCGGGTACCTTCCACTGCGGTGTTCCAATAGCTACAAATGTTTTGAACGCCTCAGACTCCACCAGCTTGTATGGTAAAAGCTGGCGGGCTAATAGTACAGACAAGCCAGCTGTCAGACGCCGGGCAAGGGGGTGACTTTCTGACATTGGCTTCTTACTCTCAAACATGTCCTTGACAGACACCTGACTGTGGGCAGATGAGCAGGAACTGCTCAAGGCGAGAGACGGAGTGGCGGATGGTTGAGAGGGGGCAAGGAGGACAGCAGTGGTTGACGTGGCTGAAGATGCTGGACCAGGAGGAGGATGGCGGCTTTGAGTTTGTGTGCTGCTTGTACTCATGTGTTGATCCCATAGGCGTTTGTGATGTGAGATCATGTGCCTACGCAAAGCAGTTGTACCTAGGTGGGTGTTGGACTTCCCACGACTCAGTTTCTTTTGGCACAGGTTGCAAATGGCATCGCTGTTGTCAGAGGCAGACACACAAAAAAAATTCCACACTGCTGAGCTCTGCAATGACGGCATTCTGGTGGTGGACACAGCATGCGTTGATTGGCGTGCTGTCGGGCTGACCCCGGGTGTCGATGCATGCTGTCTGACTGTGCCACTAGCTCCTTGCGACGACCTCCCCCTGCTTCCAACTCGTCTCCTCCTCCTCTCTGTCTCCCCATCTGAACTTTCCCCTGTTCTTCTTCTTGCCGAGCGGGCACCCACGTGACATCCATGGACGCATCGTCATCATCAACCACTTCACTTGTATCTGACAACTCAGCAAAGGAAGCAGCAGCGGGTACAACATCATCATCATCACACAGTGCATGTGTAATGCTGCCTGATTGAGACATATCCCTGTTATCTACATCCTCTGTCAATAATGGTTGCGCATCACTCATTTCTTCAAACGGATGTGTAAATAACTCCTCTGACATACCAAGTGAAGCGGCTGTGGTGCTAGTGTTGGTGGTGGCGGCAGGCGGGTGAGTGGTATCTTGAGAGGTGCCCGAAGCTAAGCTGGAGGAGAATGTTGCGTCAAGGTTCTGAGCGGAAGCTGTAGAAGATTGGGTGTCCTGTGTTAGCCAGTCAACTATGTCCTCAGAACTTTTCAAGTTCAGGGTACCTGGCCTCTGAAAACTGGGCATTATTCTAGGGCAAAAGGGAATCACAGCACCACGACCATGACGGCCCCTGCGGGGTGGCCTGCCTCTGCCTGTCATTTTTTTTTAGATTAGTGGTACTATGCGTGCAAGCTACTGTGACACCAGATATGAGTGGCACTGTGAACTGGCAGAGGTTGGCAGAGTACACGCTGTAGGGCTGACACACCCGCTTTGAGACAACTAACTGCTATTCAATCTATAACAGTGAAAAAAGTTTTTTGTTTTTAAATGCAAGCTACTGTGACACCAGATATGAGTGCACTGTGAACTGGCAGAGGGCAGAGTACACGCTGTAGGGCTGACACACCCGCTTTGAGACAACTAACTGCTATTCAATCTATAACAGTGAAAAAAGTTTTTTGTTTTTAAATGCAAGCTATTGTGACACCAGATATGAGTGGCACTGTGAACTGGCAGAGTACACGCTGTAGGGCTGACACACCCGCTTTGAGACAACTAACTGCTATTCAATCTATAACAGTGAAAAAAGTTTTTGTTTTTAAATGCAAGCTATTGTGACACCAGTGAGTGAGTGGTGGCAATGGGCACAGTATCCACTGTGAGCCTGACACACCCGCTTTGAGACAACTAACTGATATTCAATCTATAACAGTGAAAAAAGTTTTTTGTTTTAAATGCAAGCTATTATGATACCAGATATGAGTGGCACTGTGAACTGGCACAGTATCCACTGTGAGCCTGACACACCCGCTTTGAGACAACTAACTGCTATTCAATCTATAACAGTGAAAAAAGTTTTTTGTTTTTAAATGCAAGCTATTGTGACACCAGTGAGTGAGTGGTGGCACTGGGCACAGTATCCACTGTGAGCCTGACACAGAAGCGGGCAGACAACTAACTGATATTCAATCTATTATAGTGAAAATGTTTTTATTTTTTTAAATGCAAGCTATTGTGACACCAGTGAGTGAGTGGTGGCACTGGGCACAGAATCCACTGTGAGCCTGACACAGAAGCTGGCAGGCAGGCAGGCAACTGCATTTACACAAAAAAAAAAAAGCAGACTGATGTTCTAGCCCTAAAAAGGGCTTTTTGGGGTGCTGTCCTTACAGCATAGATCAGATGAGTCCTTCAGGGCTGTAGTGGACACTGTATACCCTAACCTAGCTATGCATTTCCCTATCTAATCAACAGCAGCTACACTTTCCCTCCTCTCACTAAGCATGCAGCTTGAGAATGAATGTAAAATGGATGCCTTCCAGTAGGTGGGAGGGTCTGCTAGGGAGGGTGTACTGCTAATTGGCTGGAATGTGTCTGCTGACTGTGAGGTACAGGGTCAAAGTTTACTCAATGATGACGAATAGGGGGCGGATCGAACCGCGCATATGTTCGCCCGCCGTGGCGAACGCAAACATGCTATGTTCGCCAGGAACTATTCGCCAGCGAACCGTTCGGTGCATCACTAGTCCTGGCCATCCTGAGTGCTTTAGCGAAAAGTTTGAGATCCGCGTTTAACAGTGAGATTGGCCGATAGCTGGCACAATTCGTTGGGTCTTTGCCTTCCTTTGGTATGATCGTGACTGTCGCCTTTAGAGTGTCTTCGTGGTATTGGCCTCCTTCCCGTATAGAGTTTATGCCTGATAAAAGTCGGGGTAGGAGAATGTCCTTGAAGGTGCGTAGATAGGAGGCGGGCAGACCGTCTGGGCCCGGTGCCCTGTGGGCTTTGGTAGATTTCAATGTTCCTGCCAGTTCTTCGATTTTTAGAGGTAGTTCCAGGTTGGCTTCCTGTTCTGGGGTAAGCTGACGGGTGACATGGCTATGTAGATAGGCGGCGATCCGTTCCAGGTGGTGTCTTCCCTCCAATTCCGTCCGGCATTGCGTCTGGTCATATAGCGCCGCATAGTATTCTTGGAACGCAGTCAGTATGCCATTCGGGAGTCGTGTGATGTCTCCCTTGCCTGTGCGTATTTTGTGAACATGTTGCGCCCTACGTTTCTCTTGGAGCATCTTTGCCAGTAGCCTGACACTTTTATTAGAATGTTCATAGTAGTACCTAGAGGCCTTCCTCGCTGTGTGCAGCAGCCCCTGCGATAGTATGGTTTTCAATTCCCTACGTCCCTCTGTAAGTCTGAGATATATGGCTTCATCTAGAGTCTGCTTGTGAGTCCCCTCTAGTTCGGCGATTCGTGTTGTCAGGCTCGAAATGCGGGCCGTTCGGTCTCTTTTGCGTCTGGTACTGACTGCAATGAAGTGGCCCCTAACGATGCATTTATGTGCCTCCCAGAGTGTTAGGGGGGGGTCGTGTCTGGGTTGTCATTAGTATTGAAATAGTCGGTCAGGGTGAGGGCTGTTGTCTTCGTGAGTTCCAGATCGTCTAGCAAGGATTCGTTTAGCTTTCACTACCTTTGGCTTGTATAACGGGGAGTTTGTATGGGTCAGCACCGGTGCGTGATCCGCGTGGTCCATTATGCCTATTTGGGATCCTTGTAATAGGTTTAAAAATGCGCCAGGAAGATGTAGTCTATGCGGCTATAGTGTGCGTGGGCTGCTGAGTAGTGGGTGTAGTCCCGCTCCTCCGGGTTGCATGCCCTCCAGCAGTCGACTAATCCCAATTTGTGTAGGGATCGCTGTGCTACTCGGATGCAGTGCGCCGGGATCGCGGTCCGACCCCTAGAGGTGTCTAAGCGCGGGTCCAATGGTATATTTAGGTCTCCGGCCATGACCAAAAGGCCCTCTCGTAATTTCTCTAGTTTGGCCAGCGTCCTGGATAGGAAAGTGTGTTGCCCCCTGTTTGGGCCATATAGGTACGCGAAAGTGTAGGTGTGGTCCGTTATGATGCCTTTTAGAAAGAGATATCTGCCGTGGGCATCCACCTGAGATGCTACATGATAGAAAGGTGTCGCTTGAGTGAAGAGTATGGCCACTCCTGCTTTTTTGGCGTCTTGGTGATTCGCGTAAAATCCTTGCGGGAATCGCCGATTCTCTAATTTGGGAGAGTCTCCCCCCTGAGGTGTGTCTCCTGCAGGAACGCTACGAATGCTTTAGCGGCCCACAGCTGCCTTAGTAGATGCGATCGTTTTTCAGGTGCGTTAAGCCCCTGAACATTGTTGGACCAATATGTCAGCCGGGCCGGGACGAATCCCTGACTGTTCGCCATCACCGCGTCGAGGTGGCGCCCCGCCGCGGCACGTGTGGGGGTGTGGGACGTCAGTAGGTGTGGGGAAGTCGGTGAAGAGTGGTCTAGTGTAGGGTCTACCCGACCCTTCGGGGGCGACGTCGACCCTGTACCGGGTGCAGATGTTCCTGCGTCGGGGATAGAGTTCCCACACGAGGGACCCCGGTTCTATGTACAATGTGGGTCTGTCACAGAGGGGTTCTGTAGTGCCACTTACGGTAGTGGTGTCACCTAGGGATGTGGTGGTCTGTACTGTCCCTTTTCCATCAGCTCCCTCCCTGTATGGCATGGGTGTAGTTGTCCAGATGCGAAGTTTAATATGTTGGGGGGGGCAGTGAATGCCCCTGCCTTCCGGGTCCTCATCCGGGTTTCGTGTATGGTCGGTGCGCACTGCGGCAATCTCCTCCCTGAAAATGGCCCTCAATTCTGCCACCATTTCCGTTTTGTCCCTGCGGGTCAGCATGCTTGCAGATATCGCGGCAATATACATGGACATTTGGGAGAGGGCACCCAGTGTGGCTATGCCTCGGGTCGAGTCCGCTATACTGGATCCCGGGAGCCGACGTGTCTGCGGTGTCATGGAGGCCATGCGGCCCGGAGAGGAATTCGTCCATCGGGTCAAACTGTAATCTCATCAGGGCCGCACCGGGCTGTCCTGCACCTGTTAGGCGTTTGTTTTTCCCCATTTTGTTGCGGTTTAATAGGTTCTGGACGCTGGTGGAACTGGGCTTCACAGGTTGGGGCCTAGGAGCTCGGGTTAAGTGCATCTCACTCCATCAGTGGTCAGGCCACGCCCCCCAGGGCTGTCTTTTTTGCCATATGTATAACTGCAGCATCAATCTTGGGGACAGCATTCCAGGTTTTGCAATCTTCTTTAGAATACGGATATAATCTGAATGCTTTGTTCTTCAAAGTCGCTTTTCTCTCAGGTTTCTGCCATTCTTGGGAAATTATCTCTTTGATTGTAGAGTGTACCGGAAAGGTAGGTCTATTAGCTCTCAAATCCTCAAAATATCTATCAGATTCCTTTATTCCAGATTCTTCTTCTGGGAATCTCAGGGTCTCTCTTATTATGTTGATCAGTTTATCAACCGATTTCGAATCCAGATTTCTGGAGGCATAGTTAACTTCACCTTCCTCTTCGTCCGACATATCTTCCATCTCCACATTATCACTTGACTCAGAGGAAATTTCTTCTCTTCTCAAGCGTTTAGATGAGGACATATTGCTTGTGGATTTAAACCCTTCTGCAATTGCCTCTGTAATCCATTTTTTTCAGTTCTGTTTGTGGAGACTTCCTTCCCTCAGCGGCTTCTGTCAGACAATCTTGACATAAGTTTCTTCCACTGGGTGCATTTTGATTGCAGTTAACACACATTTTTGTTTTTTCTTTATGCTTTCTTGGTGATTCCTCTTTTAGATTACTTGGGCTGTAAAAAAAGCCATTTTAACAATAATATATTTTTTATCCCATAGTGGCACTCTTTAACCCCCCCCCCCCCTTTAAAGTATAAACGTATATGAGGCTCACCTATGTTTTCTAGATACAGATCTTGAGGCAGAGTGAGAAGCTATCTATTTTAAACAAAAAAATATTTTTGTTGTCCTATTCATTTCAATTATAACTAAACAGTAGAATACCAGAATAAAAAAAGAAAAAGAAAAAACAAATTACCTTATGTATCAAGATTTCAGTCTAGTGCAGCCTTAAACACACCAAAAACTGTTCCAAACTTCATCCAGAACATTCAAACCTCCCCAGAGCGTTCTTTTATAGGATTCCCATTTTAAAAAATTTTGGCGCGATATCGCTTTAGAAATTCCACAACGTCGATGCTACTGCGCATGCCCCGCCCTCCGAACCCAGAAGTATTACCCAGCCGGTGAAAACAAGCAAGCAGAGAACTCTGCAAGCCTCCAACATGAGAAATACAAGGCACAACAGAAGAACAAAAAAACACTGTATCTATTCTACCATGAGTTTAGGGTAAGACCAATGATTTTTCAGTCACTTGCCCAGCTTCTATTTTCTGCCACAATCTCTGAGGGGGTTATTGATGCTTAAAGGGGAATTTTTAAGGATACACCGACCCCACATCATTGTAGACTTATTTAAAAACAGCCCTGTTTTCCATGAAGAGGTACATATACTAAAATGTACCTTAACTCAGTTAGTCCTGTTTTTGCAGGCTGATTACTAAGTTCTTCAGATAAAGAGAGGCTGAACATGGGAAGGTGGCCTCAAAAGAAAATTTAGTATAGGATATAATTCCTGTTTGTCCTGCTAAGGACAGAAAAAAAGACTGTGGGTTGGAGGGAGGAGGGATCTTTTATACCTACAGTCTGGTTATAATTGATTAATTGTTTCCTGTCCTGTCTCTGTTAGGGGCGGAGCTAACCCATTAGTGATGCTGCCATGAATGGCCAGGAATATGCCTTTTGAATTACCCCAGGGTGTATTCTTTAATAAATAGTATGTGTTTGTGGGGAAGTTTCAATAACCAACCATCAAAGCTTCAAAGTTAGAAAAAAACTAAATGGCTGCGTCTCAAATGTGCCCCTTAAACATCCACATTTACCTGGCAAAGGTACATATGGTGGTATTGCTGTACTCAGACGACATAGCTGAGCAACATATGAAGTATTATACAGTCGTAGCACACATAAGGTTTGCAAAATATACTGTGCAAACTCACTTTGTGTGTCAAAAAGGCAGAAAAAACATTACCACTACACTTGGTACAAGCTAGCGGAAAAATGATCCCACGTTAAGGTTCAAAATATACCTTTTGAAATACCCTGGGATGTCTTCTTTAAGAAATGGTATGGCTTTATGGGGTATTTGGATTATATAGCCTGGTAAAATACTCTATAATGGTACATAGGCACAGCGTAAAAATGTAAAGTTTGAAAAAAACTGCAATGGCTGTGTCCCAAATGTGCCCCTCCGATGTCCACATATACCTGGCAAAGGTACATACGGGGGTATTGCTGTACTCAGCTGACATAGCTGAGCAACATATGAAGTATTATACACTGGTAGCACACATAAGGTTTGCAAAATATACTTTGCAAACTCACTTTGTGTGTCAAAAAGGCAGAAAAAACACTTATTATCACTACACTTGGTACAAGCTAGCGGAAAAATTATCCCATGCTAAGGTTCAAAATATACCTTTTGAAATACCCTGGGGTGTCTACTTTAAGAAATGGTAGGCCTTTGTGGGGTAGTTTGAATTTAAACCCTGCTAAGATGCTTGGAAATTGCACATAGGCCCAGCGTCAAAATTCAAAGTTCGGTAAAAACTGATATGGCTTGGTCTCCTATATGGCACTGTAGCTTCACGAAATAGTGCCAAAGACATTCATTGGGGGTGTCTTTTTACTCAGAAGACTTAGCTGAGCATAATTTAGGGGGTTTGAACTTAGTGGCACATGTGAAATATACAAAATGCCCAGCAAAAATGCAATCCATGTGTAAAAACGCACAAAATTATTTTTTACCACATACTTTGGCATATATTGGTGAAAAAATGGGGGCATGTTAAGGCACAATATGCACCTTATGAGATACCCTGGAGTGTCTACTTTTACAAATGGTAGGCCTTTGTGGGCTTTTTTGAACAGTCAAACTGTTATAATACCCCAAATGGAAGCATAGGCTCATTAAATCCGTCTCTCAAAATTCTACTGTGAATACTGAAAAGAACAGGCCTCCTCTATGGCACTGTAACGTCACGAAATAGTGCCAAAGACATACAATGGGGGTGTCATTTTACTCAGCAGATGTAACTGAACACAAAATAAAACTTTGTACAGGAATAGCACACACCAACTTTACAAAATACACATGAAAATTTCTTTGTTATAAGTTTGTGTGCCAAAAACCAAAAAAAACACAATTTTACTCCAATATTTATCAGAGGTTGGCTGTGAAATGGCTATGTAGAAAGTGTCAAAACAACCTTAGGTAAATAGCCTGTGATGTCTACTTTATATAAAAATATACTTTTGTGTTGCAATTTTGTTTTCTTTTATGGCTATTAAGCTTACAACACAAACATACCAAATTCTAAAATCGCTCCACATTAAAAGTTTATTTTACTCCTTGTTCTTTGTGACCTGTAACTACCAAAAAAAACTTTAAATCCCAGACACATTATATATTCTGTAAATCAGAACAACTAAATTAATTTATTTTTAAAAATAAATTGAAGCAAAAATAAAAAAATTAAGAAGAAAAAACAAAAAAAAAAAGTGGTTCCACTGGGGCTCGAACCCAGGACCTTCTGCGTGTAAAGCAGACGTGATAACCACTACACTATGGAACCAGCTATGAGAGATGCCGTTTTATAGCCTATATGACATCTTCTCTTCGTTTTCGACTAACACCTTTTAAAATAAGATTCTTTAACAACTTTTAAATGTTAGCGATCCGGCTCTCCACTGACAATATTACCACAAAGCAAGCAGTTGGATAGGGGGAAATATCAGATTCCATTTCCGCCTTATTAAACAAGTATTACTATTACATACACTAGAGCCCATTGCTTTAGAGTTGTCATAACTTTAAAAAAAAAAAAAAAAATCGATTTAAACGTGATGCCGTCGATATGACGCCGGGTGGTCTGCCACATCCATGACGGGCGTCAATTTCCATTTCCTGCCTGTGTAATAAAAAAAATGCCGTCAAACTAACTCAAGATGGCGCTCGTGCATTCTCTATAGAACCCCGCAGTTTCCAACATGGACGCCGGCATATGAACTACATTACCCGTGATTCTCGGTAACCTTGGACTCGCAAGCTAGCTATGGAATTCGTAGTTCGAAATGGTAAAAGCATCTTTTCTTGTTTGCCTGTCAATGTACTGAGCTAATGTGGAATGTTCCTAAATCGCCCTCTAGATCAGTGTACTAACATAAACTAATGTGCTATATAAGATGCTAGTTGTAGATTGTATCGAATTTTGAGCAATAACGTAAAGGTGCATTTTGTGAAATATATTTTATATATTCATATATATATGTAATAAATATATAGAGCTAAGTGTTAATAAACAAATGGAGTTGTAGTTTTACAACATTAATGCATCTTCCATTTGGCTACCCTTGCTATAAGTGAGTAAGAAGGGGCATCAGCGCTGGATTCAGGTAAGCAACATGGGATGGTGGGTGGGTGGGAGGCACTGCAGGATTCTGCTGTGCCAGGAAAACGGGTTTGTTTCCCTGGCACTGGAGAGTCCCTTTAAATTTTGCAATTCAGTTCTGGATGCACTAGAATTCTCAGGATTATTCACTAAAGTGAGAACTGCCATGAATTCAGAGAGCTCCCGACTCCAGTAAGCCTACAGCACGGAAAAAGGTCCGCTATCGAAAGCAAAAACGAGCACCTGCTGGCGTAAGCCCTGCTGAAACAGGTGGCACCGACAAAACAACTTAAACTTACCGATCCGGTGCGTGCAACCAAAAAAAGACCGCCAGCCGCAAATCCAAGATAGCGATGATGCTGATGCGCAATCACCCAATCAAGCCTACAGCAAGGAAAAAGGTCCGCTATTGAAAGCAAAAACGAGCACCTGCTGGCGTAAGCCCTGCTGAAACAGGTGGCACCGACAAAACAACTTAAATTTACCAATCCGGTGCGTGCAACCAAAAAAAGACCGCCAGCCGCAAATCCAAGATAGCGATGATGCTGATGCGCAATCACCCAATCAAGCCTACAGCAAGGAAAAAGGTCCGCTATTGAAAGCAAAAACGAGCACCTGCTGGCGTAAGCCCTGCTGAAACAGGTGGCACCGACAAAACAACTTAAACTTACCAATCCGGTGCGTGCAACCAAAAAAGACCGCCAGCCGCAAATCCAAGATAGCGACGGTGCTGATGCGCAATCACCCATATCAGAGGGGACTCCGGACTCAGATTCCACCCTCCCTTCCCAAGAGGAAACCCCACTCGCAGAAAGAAGCCTTTGCACTATGCTGCAAGAACTACGAGCCACATGGCAAGCGGACTTTAAACAACTGTCTGCCGATCTGCGCAAATACATAGCTGAGTTAGGCAGGAGGACGAGCAACCTAGAAAACAAAACGGAAGAGTTTTGTGAGGCACATAATGAAGTAGTCGAGAGGCTGCAGAATATAGAAGACGACCATGCGGCTTAAAACACAAAATGGCCGACCTAGAGGATCGCGTAAGGCCTGGAAGATGCGATGTGGGAGTTGGACCTCCTGCATCGTTTGCTGCAACCACCATGATTTACGGCCAACACTCCCAGAGACATTATAGTGAGGTTCCACTACTTCAAATCAAAAGACCTTCTCCTCAGCGCAGCGAGGAAACTGGCGGTCCTTCCTGAACCTTACCATAAGGTCAACATCTTTGCGGATCTGTCAGCCTCCACAATGTCCAGCAGAAGGGAATTCATCACAATCACAAAGACTCTGCGCAACAACTAAATTCTGTATCGCTGGGGATATCCTACCAAACTGCTGGTGTGGTTCAAAGGTAGATCGGTGGCAATCCTGGAGCCTGAAGTAGGTGTAGCAAGGATAAAAGAACAGGGTTTGTTTCCTGCGTCGGATACTGCAACAACAGAGAGGAACTCTCCCAAGAAATTCCCACAAGAATGGCGAACCGCTGGATCACCATCTCGATCCCCTGCTCACCATCTGGGCTAGATGATCCTGTGTCCATAGCGGTGATACGTATTTTGCTTCCTGATTGTCCTCTTAGTGTACCAAGTACAATTGGGCATGGTTATGGCTTTATCAGTTAATTGGAACTGGTGACTAGTCTGTTTACACTATTTCCATTTTTTTTTCTCTTTGACGGCTATAACGCTTTTAAAACGTAAAAAAAAATAAAAAAACAAAGTGGAAAATATATAAATTGATCAAATGTTAATGACAGAAATATTATATATTTATAAGGCTTGGTTAGTTAATGCTAAGGCAATGGCAATGACACCACCCATGACCGGGCCGCCCCACACCCGTAATCCCTAGAGCACAAACCCCACTGATTGACACTACGAGAGGCAAAACCTACTAGTTTTTCTCTAAGGCACACATACCAACTAGCAACTTGCCTCTATTCGTGCCTAGGTTTACACAGCAACAGGATCTGCTATAAGGTGTTAGAAATCACTTGGCGATGGCCAGATCCAGTACGCTAGTTTAGTTAAGGATATTGTCACGCTACTGTAACCCCCATGGAGGGATGACCGTTCAGGTTATAATTGACAGCATCTAAGACACGACACATAAAACGAAAATAAAAAAATAAAAATTACAAAAACAGAACTCTTCTACATAGTTACAAAAAAAATAATAAAAAATTTAGCACTGCTAGTTGCAGTTCCACAAACACCAGTAAATACACATGAGGTCAATCTTTAGCCACAAAATTTACAATGATTTATCATATGGGCATGCACCCCAAGACCACATTGATGGGTAGGATGGTTATCCTCGCCTCCCCCTGGCCGAAATCTTTGCTACCAGGGCAAAGTGAAAATGTATATACCTATGTTAATGCTGCATTCTTGGTTATGGTTAATCCTTTTCTTTCTTTTTTCTCTTTCTGAGCTATCTCCTCCTCCCAGGGTTCCCTCTAGTTGCAACACTACAGGCATAGGGGCAGTGGTTGTGGTTGAGCTTCCTAGACACAGGGTATGCAATAGGCCTATTTGGGGCCCCGATAAATATTTTATAACGGCAGGTACACAAGACTTCCCAAATGGCAACCAATCAAGGGAAGGTAACGCGAGCACTCCTGGATGGGATTGTTTAAGAGTGAAGCCCACAATTGATAATATGATCAATTATCAATTAAACTGTTAATGGCTCCTGACTGATTCCTCTTCTGCAACTGTCACTAGTCTAATACTATCCTTACCTTTTTGTGTCATTTTACCCCACTCCCTCTAGCATGTAAGCTCATTGAGCAGGGCCCTCAACCCTTCTGTTCCTGTGTGTCCAACTTGTCTGGTTACAACTACATGTCTGTTCGTTCACCCATTGTAAAGAGCTGTGGAATTTGATGGCGCTATATAAATATCATAATAATAATAATACGATCCCCACCGAGAATGGCTACCCCATGTAAAATATGGTCTCTTAATGTTAAGGGGCTAAACAACCCGCAAAAACGGTGCATAGAAGTACAAGAAATGCACAAATCACAAGCGGCAGTTGTATGCCTTCAAGAGACCCACTTTTGTATTTATAACCCTCCCGCAGAATTCACCAAAAAATCTCCCCAGGCATACCACGCATACTCACCAACTAAAATCAAAGGAGTCTCTGTATTTTTTCATAAGTATTGAGATTTTCAGCTTCAGACCAAATATGTAGATGAACTGGGTAGATTAATGCTTCTGGTTGGAACATTGCAGGGATCCCCGTTGACTAAAGACTTGTTATTGGCTCCTAACGAAGCCCAACTATCCTTCTTACATAAATCTCACAAAAAAACAAACTTATTAGGACAAGTACATGTAATAGTCTGTGGAGATTTTAATTGTACGCTTGACCCGGATCTTGAAATAAAACGGGCACACAACCTACACCCCACTCACACAGCGGCCTTAAACAGTAGCCTATTACAAGTACACAACGTATACGACACATGACGCACGACATTTCCAACGGAAAAAGATTACATGTACTTTTCCCCCAACCATTTAATGTATATGCACAACATTGCACAAACACAACATGAATTACATGCCATCTCACTGTAAAAAGTAGAAAATCAAATGCAAGCCCTTAAACTCCGCCACTATATGCAAGGTAATAAAGCCAGCAAAATGTTAGCAAACAAACTCAAAACCAGATACTTACGGACGAAAATACCATATATTAATTCTTTCAAAGAAGTCATACTGTATAGCCCGACGAATATAGTAAACAAACTAGCCCTCTTTTACAACAGCCAATATAACTTAAAAGATTACCCTAAACGAGATAGATCTTCCCACACTCACGCCACAACAAGCAAGCAGTTTAGATACACCGTTCACAGAAGAGAAAGTTCACAATGTCATCCTACCACGCACAAACACAAAGCCCCAGGACCTGACAGATTATCCACATATTACTATGTTAAACTAGCTCCCGCCTTACTGCCACATCTCACAGCCTTATTTAATCATATTAAACCAGTGTTTACCCAGCACAAGATTTCTGTTACAGATCTGGAAACAATGGGCTCAGCCCTTATTGGATCACAATAGTCATCTCACAGTGGTCCCAATACAAACACCGACGCAACTGTCCCCAGATATTCAACTACAGAATTGGACTGTGGGAAATGATGGTACCGTAGGCTTCTTGTGTAATGCCCAAAGTATTAAACCCTTTCCAGAGCTGCAGCTAGAATTTAAACCCCTACCCAGAGAAATCTTCACCTACCTACGAATTAAACACATCATAATGGTGAACCAAGTAAAGGCGAGTCCGCCCCTGCGAGCAACACCCTTCCTTCTAGTCTGCATCGACAAAAAAAACACAAGCAAAACGTTATCCGTGTGCTAGAACGCATTCCTGAGAAACTACCATATATGTTGCAGTGGGAGAGGGAATTGGAGATAGATATTAACCAAAAATACTGGCTTCGGGCTTTACGGATAGCAGCCTCTATCTCTGGGAAGCTTGTTGCAAGATTATGATGAGATGGTACCTTGTACCACAGAAACTGGCAACCTTCTACACCTCTACATCAGATATATGTTGGAGGTGCCACGAGAAGGTTGGATCCTCCTCCCATATATTCTGGGATTGTCAAAAATTAAAGGTGTACTGACAACCAGTGCAGGCCATCATAAGCAAATTAGCACATAGACCAATCCCATTTAGGCCTGAATACTACCTCCTACATATAATACCAACTCTTCACACAGATCCACACTGAATAATGATTATTCATATACTTCTATATAACCATAGGCATTAAAAATATTGGAAGGATTGGTCAATAGTGTATAACTCCTAGTTCTTCTCCCAATAGTTCTCAAGTATAAAAAAACAAACAAACAAAAAAGGCGATGGGGGACCAAGTTGTACAGAGGTTATGATGTATGTATGTTACTTCGGATTTTATCGCAACTGACTTGGATGGATGATTAGCACTGTGAGAATTATAAGTATATGGAACTTGAGCTGCCAGTTATGGGAACCCTGAGAAACCTACTTACCCCTACCCTTACTTTCCTCCTTTCTTTCTTCCACTATGAACTGGGGTTCAGTTTCTTGCTGATTATCTTATTGCAAGTGGAGTACCAGTCGTAGTGTTACAAAATGTGTGGGAGACGATACTGCAACTTTCCTACCATGTATCTACTTTGCCGAGCGAAGTGACAATAACTGAACCACCAATTGGGTGCTTGGAATGATTGAAATTCCCCAACTGTACAAGTATTTTGCTGTCCGATGCAAAGCATTTGTATTCATCTCATAACATTAAGGTTGTTGTTTGCATGTGTAATATGTATGTCACCACTGCACTGTATGCTCAACTGTTGGCAATTGCAGAGACTCCTGCAAACACTGTTGCATAGACTTGTAACTCCCACAAGATGATGTAAAAATGTATCATATCCATGTACTGTACAATTTGAACTGATGTGTTATCTACTTTTTCTTTAAAAAAAAAAAACCTTCAATAAAAACAAGACATTGAAAAAAAAATGGTGCATGGACGGCATAAGCATTAAAAATAAGGAATGTAAACAAAAGAAAAAAACATGACAGTGCCACTTTGACAGGATCTAGATGTACACTATAGCATTGTAGATACAGAAATTGTATCCTTTGTTTCTTTTTAGAACAACATTTTTATGGCAATTTATCTTCTTGGAAGATATTCCTGAGAACCACACGTTTAAAGGGATTCTATAGTGTAAGGATACAAAATTGTATTTCTTGCACCAGGGTTTCCAAATTTATTTTTCCAGTGGGACCCTTTGATATAGTAGATTATTTTTGCGCCGTAGCATAAACCTTTTAATTAGTTGAGCATACTGTTTTATTTTTTTGGTACATTTTTTTGCTATATAGACACACATTTCTACAGATAGTAAAAAGATTGTAGTACTTAGGAGCAGGTGTGCTTTTGTGTGTAGAGTTGGTGTTTGTATATAATTTGTATATAATTTTAGGAT